CACTCTACTCTTTGGTACATATTTGTGTTTTTATGTCAGTACTCTCTCTCTCTCTCTCTCTCTCTCTCTCTCTCTCTATATATATATATATGTATATATATATTAGTATATACTAATATGTTTTGAAATTCAGAAGATTAGTTCCTGTAGCTTTATTCTGTTTTCCAAGAAGGTTTTGACTATTATAATCCCTTGCATTTTCTTGTGAACTTTGAGGCCATTTTCCCAAAATCTGATAAAAGACATCCGGAATTTTGATAGGAATTACATGGAATCATTACTTCAATCCATGAAGCAACATGTGGAATCTTGCCGTCCATGGACATGGTATATTTTCCATTTAAAAACATTGCAATTTTTGTGCTTCTTCATGGCTTTCACACCCTTTGGTTAAACGTCGTTATGAGTATGTTATTCTCTTCGATATTCTTCGAAACGAAACTGTCCTCCTTATCGAGAATTGTTCACTGTGGCCCTGTCCATTTGTGACCTTGATACACACGGAGGACCGAAGTGCTTCCATTTCTGTGCTGCTGGTTCGGCTCCACACTGCTTTGCTTTCATGGTACTTCATGCTTGGTCTTCATTCATTTCTGTGTAGCTTGCTAGCGCAAGGAAATATTGTGGTACATACACCACATGCTATTGTGTGACCTTTGTGTTTTCACTTTGAGTTACTTTGAATACTATTATCATTAGTGCTCTTCCACAAGACTTCCGATGAATATATTGTACTTATTTTCACGTGTGGAACTGCAGAGCCAAGCTATAGCCACATCATTTTGTAAAGTGGCTGTAACAGTTTATGGATCTATCACGAGTGTTTCAAAAAAAATTTTTTTGTACTAGAACATGAGGAGTATATGTTCAACATTTCTTTTTGGCACATTTCTAAATAGGTAATGGTCCTTAGTTATGGCTTAAATTTTTATTTTACCAGTGAATAATGGTGTAAAATGTGATTTTTGTATGGTTATTTGAATGTCTTTTATAAGACTATTAAGGAGAAAATTTTTTTATGTTTGAAGAATTATTATTATTTTTTATCATTACTTTAGAAAATTTTTAATAACTACATGATTAGAAGAGCATTTCACTACAGCTTTAACATATTCATTAACACACTCCAGAGCAAGAGTACATCTCTTTCACAAGTGGCTGCAAGTTTCTAGGTTCACAGTTGAATTAATACAGTTATACAATATTGAACTCAGTATAAACACTGTAAGACATAAAATTCAATGAGTTTTTAACCTTCAAAAAGATCTCCATTTCATTTTAGAATATATTGTTCCTTGCAGAAGGACTCATTGTTTTTGCCACTAACACTCAGATTTTGGTACATGCATCTCAAATCCTATAAGACATAAAATTAAATGAGGTTTTAAACTTTGAAAAAGACCTCCGTTTCATTATTAAAATATACAGTTTCATACAGAGAAATTCATTTTTAATCCAATCACTTGGATCCTTGGCACCTGTGTATGTCTATAAAGTCATTGGTTAGATTTTTAATGGTAATGTTTATCACCTCTACTAATTAACATGACGCAAATGTCCATTCTTCCTCCTCAAATATAATACATTTTTTAAAATTTGTTGATTTATTTTTTGTGTGTATATCATACAGGACATCCCAAACCATCTTATTCAACTATACACCCGCTTCCCAGATGGCACCTCCCATAGCCTCCCTCCCCCTACTAGAGCCCTTATACTCTGATATCTGTGCTACTGTCTGCTGTGTTATCGGTACCCCCAGCCATTCCCCACTACTCGCCCTTTTGGTGAATCTAGTCAGCCTATCTAGAGGTCTTTGTTTTAGGAGGGTCAGCTGTTCCTCTTCTAGCAGCAATCAGTTGTCAATACTCCTTTAGATAAGATTGGGGTCTGCTGTCCATTTTCCCAGTTCTGTGCTGGGTTACTATCTGGGAGTCCCTTGGGCCATCCCGGCCAACAACTCAAAAGAAGGTATCTCCTTTCTGGCCTTGTTGCTTGTTATGTAGCCTTTTGCTATACATATGGACTCTTATGAAATTATATTGGCCCCTTTAATCTTTGGTTATACTTTCCTTTTTGGTGTTTAAGTCCGTACAGTTGGCCCAGATAAACCAATTTATTTTTACTCTTAAGGTCATTTGAGGATCTGTTCCTCAGGGGTCACATGGGCTTGGGAGGAGCCCCTGACTACTTTCTTTTACCAGTTCCACCTATGTGAAGATAAGTCAAAGGTCCTGCTTGACCGTAGTTGGCTTTGCTTGGAAGCATGGAGGAAATGATTCCTCTCTGTCGACCCTCCGCTTTGTAGACTGGACACTGGTTCAAGTCCATCTGGTGGGGTCTCCTCGGCCTCCTTGATCAAGAGGACAGGTGACCCACCACCATTACAGGACATTATGAGAGATGCTCAAAGTCCCCTGGAACTAGTCGACCTAGGAAGGCAAGGAGCAAAAAGTGTCCTTTATGTCCCTCTGACCAAATTATTATAGGCCTCAAAGTATGTCTGTTAAACATCCAAGAAGGTTAGTTCCATCAGTCTGGTACTTTTAATTACTGTGTACATGGATAAATCTTGGGCAAAGACCAACTGTTCTCAGATAAACCTAGTAGATGTGAAAAACATTACCACTGAAATCTACCTGATGACTTTATGTCCATGCGCAGATGCCAAGGAGCTCAGAAAGTAACCGACTGTGACTAGTAATAATCATATATAGAGAGATTAGAAACGCATGTGCGAACATCTTAATGTCAATTGCATTAAAAATGAATTTTTCTGTATGAATCTATGTATTTTAATAATGAAATGGAAATCTTCTTTAAAGGTTAAAACCTCATTTAATTTTATGTCTTATACTGAGTACAATATTGTATAACTGTAATAATTCAACTGTAAACCTAAAAATTTACAGCCAGTTTTTACAGAGATGCATCTTAGCTCTGGAAATTGTCACTGAATATGTCAGTGCTGTTGTAATGAAATGCTTCTTCTAAATATGTGGTTTTTAAATAATTTTTTAAAAAGACTGTTATTTTTGCCTTTTTCTATTGGGGTGTCTTTTTCATTTATTTGTAAGAACAATTTATTTATTTTACTATGGCTGTAAGTAATAATTAAGATATGTGGTACTGGAGTTGGAAAGATGGTTCAGTGATTAGGAATATTGGCTACATTTTCGAAGGACCCAGGTTCAGTTTGCAGCACTCACAAATCAACTAACAACCGTCCTTAACCCCAGTTTAAGGGGATCTGATACCCTCTTCTGGACTCTCTGGATATTGCATGGCACAGATGCCCTTACATGCATTCAGACAAAACATTCATACACATGAAGCAAAAATGAATAAATAAAAATTGGTACTGTCAAAGGAATGAAAAATTTAGTGATTTAGCAGATTAGAATTTAGAAATAGATTTAGTAGGTATTGTAGCTTAATTCATGAAAAATGATTCTAAATACAGATGGCATTTAAAATAAATAACAATTTAATACTTAATTGATATGATGTAATTTCCAGTCTTACACTTTATGTAAATGTCATCCCACATACACTGTACATCTAAATGTGATATATACCATAATAAAGCTTCCTAAAAAATATCAAAAGATACATTCCTGACTTTGAAGGATATTTCAGATTTCTTCAACAAGCCATAAAAAGGACTAACTGCACATTAGAAAACATTATAAATTGAGTCTCATTAAATATAAAGTTTTCTTCATGAAAAACTAAAAATGTGAAAAGTCCCAACACAGTATAAAAGAGTATTTATAATGCATATATCCAGCAAAATGTTTTATATCAAATTCATGGTTTCTAGAATTCATATTATTTTATATCAACTTTTGGGTTTTTCAAGATTTTCATTATAATAGCACTTGATTATGTGTTGAATTAAACTTTTATTAATTTGAGCAAAACGAAACAGAAAGAATTAAAAAAATAGTGGATTGGATACCAGTGAGCTATAAGTTTATTAATTTTAGTACAATGGAAATCATTAATCGCAGTTATATAATCTACAATCCAGTGCATTTACTTGTAACTTGGAAATAGAAACAATACATTAACAACTATACTTTCTATTTAGCTTTTCTGTTTCTAAAATTTAAAAAGCTAATTTATTGCCTGAATGCTAGCACAATATACAAAACACAAATGTGTGAAAAGATTCTAATATTTACATAGTCTACAATGTTATTTTATCTTATTTTCTTAAAACTTACTGCTATATAAAATTGTTAATTTTAAATATAGTTATTTTAATAATTGCAGTAAGAAAAGTAAGTGTCCTTAAAGAAAATTCAGTCCATGAACACTAGTATATTTCCTACATAATAGAAACATTTGTAACATTTAATTTGCCAATGGTATGTATACTTGATTTAATATTCTTCTAAGAACGTGATGAAATAACAACTAGACTTATTTACTTTTAAATAAAGATATACATGTGTTTACCTACAATTTGAAATATCAGATTTAAATGGTTTTGTAAATATCTGAATATAAAAATTATAAAAATCTCTGGTGCTTTTATCATTATGCTTGTCCTCTGTCCATTTTACTACATGCTGCCTTATTTTGAACTAGATAATTATCCTCTACGCCTACCAATATCATTTGGACTTTACTGAATTTCTCTCTTAAATTTAAATTGGCTTTGATATATGTGAAAGTACTTTAGACAACTAATTATTACTCTACACAAACCATAGAGGTTTTTCTGGTAGTTGTGTGTGGCATTCTTTTGTTTCTCTTTTTATCTTTTTAAAAAAAAAGATTAAAGAAATTCTGCGACAGTGGCATCATAAGACTTGTGAGTTTGTTGCTCTTGAATTCAACTGTCAATTTTAATGAATCCTACCCAATTAAAGCAGTATGCCTATTTTTCATGGGCCCATGATCAATATAATCGATTTTATTTTTACATCACCTCATAGATGTAATTTTTCTCAGGATGTGAGGGATTAATGCGATGTTTTAATGTGTTTCAGAATTGTGAGAAGCTAGAGAATAATTTTGATGACATCAAGCACACGACTCTTGGTGAACGAGGAGCTCTCCGAGAAGCAATGAGGTAAGTCTGGGTCACCATAGCAACAGTCACAGATGTGGTAAAGAAAAAGTCATTCTTCATTATTGGGGGAACAAATGAGTTCATTGCCACCATTCAGCTCTGTTCTCTAAGGTATTAATTTGTCAGTGGAGAGACTTCCCTTGAGGCTGTACTTTGGTTTTGAGGCTGCATAAATGTTAAGCCTCAGTGCACAGTAAAAAATGTAAATGTTTAATTTGTTACTTAAAATGCTTACGGGTGTCTTGTTTTATATTTATACTAAACTGTGATTGAATGAAAATATTGTTCATCTAAATTCTCCCTGTGTATAAAAAAACTAAACAGTGTGTGTAACACTGGCTTAACTGAGTGGTATTTCCTCCTAATTAATATTTAATTTTAAAAGAGGTACTTAAAATTTCATCTTCTGTTAGATTTTATAGGATTGTATGATGGTATTTTTAAAGTGATTCACATTTTCTCACTATTACAAAGCACACAATCAACTTCCTCTTGATACAGAACTCTATAATAAGCCTGTCTGTTATTCTTTTTCACTTAATATCGCTATTTAAATCTTTTTTTTTCCTGAAATCACCCCAGATTTGATGCCTTTCTAATTACTTTTAGTAAAGGATTCTTTAAATCTGTTTGATCAGAATAATTTTTTTACTGGAAATTAAAAATGTTGTGTAATTGACTCCGTCTTTAGAACAGGAAAATCACAAATAACATTAGTCCTGAAGTTTTGATCGTGAACCTTGGAGTGGTACAATTTCTAGTCTTTATGCAAAGAAGTAGCATATTTACCTTTGTTTGGCTTAGGAAACTAACATTAAATTCTAAAAATGTTTTTTTTTTTTCACCTTAGTGATCATTTTTTATGGGCTCAAGCTACAAAAATCTTAAAATAAAAAGGGAAACCTAAGAGATTTCCTGGTGGTTTAGATCCAATCTTGTTGTTGCTTGAACACAGCTACCATAAACTCTAGTTTAGAAGCCTCTCTCATTTAGCAGTCTCCCTTTTACCATGCAAGCAGCGGGAGAAAGTAATTAAATTTAATAGAAGCTGCCCTCATTTTGAAGCCACTTCTATTTAAAACCACAGGGGGAGGTAATTAAATTTAATGGAAACAGTAGCTTCTACACAAAGATACATGGTACTTCTGTATGGATGATTATGATGTCACAAAAAGAGGAATAATATATTACTAGTACGGAAGAGAATTGCCAGCTGGAGCAAGGGGGCCCATTTTATTGTTAATGTCTTTACTAATAAAAAAGATGGAAAAATAAAACTGAGTATGCAGTGGAGTATTTGCATGTGTATAAAATGTAATCAGATGTTATCAGAAAGTTTCAGTTACTGAAAATAGTTGTAAATTAAAAATGAGGTGTAAAATGCACTGTGGAGAGAATTAATGAACTCCTGTTTTTTAATTTCTCCTTTATTCGCTATTGAAGACCACACAGATATAAATTGAACATGCCATGCCATTTATGTAGTGCTTATATTATTAATTTTGAGTACATTAAATTCACATTCTAGTATTTATTTAGAAAACAATTATTTTGGCTATTTATTACTATTCATCTTGAAATAAATGCAGAGACAAACAGGAAGACAAAGCAGACACCAGTTCTCATGGTTTTAAATAAAAGAACTGAAGACCAAACACATAGAATTGAAAAGGGGCTGTGTGAATGGACATGCGTGTAAATGAGGGAATGCAATGAACATAAGGATGTGAGAGCAGTGTGGAAAATTTGTCCTCAAGAAAAAAACAACAAACTGAACTGCAGGAGAAGTGTATATGAGAGGTTATCAAATTCTGCCCAATTTTGTAATGAATATCACTTTAGAATTCTTGCTTTTAGAGAAAAGTAGGAATGAGTGGATAGGAAAAACACCAGTGTTAATTACCCAGTTGAGTGACCTGGTAACCACCCAGAGCAATGAGGGAAGGGCAGCAGTCCAGACAATTTAGTTCAGGATTTAATCACACGGTAGTGAAACATACTTGTTTACTTAGGCTACATATTGTATATTTGTACACACTAGCACACACGTGTGCACATATTAATGTCTGGACTCACTAAACACAATGTAATAATTTATTAAGCAAAAGTATTGAATGCTTTAGTGTTCTGTCGACAGGCAACTTCTGTTTTCAGTGCCTGAAGAGCTCACCCTTTCATAAGGAAGAATCTGAAAACAAGAAATCACAATGTGATTCATACAACAGGAAAAACACAAGAAAAATGGATCCCCCTCTTCATCTGTGATTAATCTTTCTCATATGAAGTGTAACTGGACCAAAGCCAAGCATGGAGTAAAGAGGTTGACTGAGTCTAAAAGATGAACAGTGCTGCAAGTCAATCTCACAGTACAGACTGAAGGGAGACTGGAAATACAAGGTCTGCCTCAAAAACAGTAAGAAGGTGGTGGAGAGCAAATTTCCTCAAAGCTTTATGAATGCAGTTTACTTTTTAATCGATAAAAGCACACAGATAGAAATTTTCTACCAATAATAGGTCTCCCATATCATGAACTCATGAGCAAAAATGGAGCAGTTCAAGGTTCATAGAGGTACTGGGAGCAGCTCAGGACCTCAGAGTAGGTAGGGGCAGCAGGAGACAGGTGGGACTAGTTTACCAAAAGCTTCAGTTAGCAAAGGGGCTGGTTTCAGGAGGCTCACTAACAATATGATTATTAACATATGGTGATCAGTTTTATAGTCGAGAGTTTTGTGATAAATCATTTAAATCATTTCAAAGAATCATTGTAGATTATAAGGATGATAGTGACAGTATCAAATGTAAAGCTATATAGATAATTGTTTTGCACTGTAGAGTTATTATAGTACAGGGAGAAAATACCATGTAGAGATAGAGACCATCCTTAATCTACTTACTTGTAACTGTAGCTCTGACACATTCCAAGCTTGCATGTACAGTCTTTGTCCTCATGAGGACGTTTGAGTCATCCCCTGGTCCCAAGCACTTCAGCACAGCTTCTTCCTTGATTTACTGGTGTGGCATAGCTTGGCTTTGGAGTGATCCTCTTCTGTCACCACTTAATTTCTTCATCAGCAAGAGCTGGGACCTTTCTCCAGTTGGGCACCTACAGTTTTACTAAACATTTCCTTTTATTTGTGATCTTAGAAAAGAGGATTCTACCCCTGTTCAGTCCTCTGAGACCTCATCTCGTCTCTCTTCCTGGACAGTCTTTGCTATGCCGTCTTAAACCCACTCCTTTCTCAATGTAAAAGTTCATGAATTATATTCAAACTTTTTCAGGATCCCAGATGTTAGGTGCTCTTATTCTGAAGCCCTACCATGTAAAAAGAACAAGGGCTATAACGCTCTCTGGAATGTGCTGGCTAAATAATGCCTTGAATAAGTGTAGTTACTGGGAGAGGGAAAGAGAAAAAAGACTAACGAAGACAATTTTGTTTTATTCATCAACCTGAGACAATGAAGATCAACCAACATATGAAATGTTCGGTAGGAAGAGGGAAATATAGTCCCCAAAATCAAAACAGAAGATAAAGGTTGTGGGCCCATTTGGACTTTGTTTGAATTTTGCTATCTGCAGCCATGGGAAACCATGGAATTTCCAGAAGTAGTTCATCAAGTAAGAGAGTCAGAGATAGAGATAGAGATGGAGATGGAGATGGAGATAGAGACAGATAAAGAGAAAAAGCAATATGATGCTTTAAAAAAATATTGAACTTAAAATAATATATGTTAGGACAAAAACAGTTCAGGATTTTAAATTTTGGTTAACCACCTTCAACAGAGTAAGACTGGACTGTTATGTTACATGGGTCATTTGAGAGAAAAGCCCTTAGTGGGGAGAGGAATTCCTACCCACTGTTCTGTTCCATAGTCCACAGAGACATCCAGTGCACCACCACCCAGACTTCGTTGTGAGGTACAGTTGTGTATCTGCCTCTCACTGATAGCAACCAGGCATGTGTCCACTGAGAACCCAGAATGTGACAAGTTTATTGCAAAAATGGAATGTTTTTATTGTAGTTTAAAATAACTTTACTTAAAAAGTAGGTCATAGAATGACTGACTGTGGCTTGGATGTTAATACCCTAGAGGGCTGAGTTCATGTTGCTAAAGAGGTATGTGGTATCCTCAAAGTGATGGAGCTGCGGTTGATGAAAAGGCCACAGTGAGTCAAAACCATAGTCATGCATATCACATGCATGAACATGCTCTTTTTTAGAAAGATGACAGAAAATGCAGTCACAACATAGCAATGAGTGTCAAGTGTGGGTTGATGAGGAATTGACAAAGTGAGTATGATTCTCTATCATGATTCATATCTAAGTATCCTAATACAATCAAGAACAAAATCACCCTAAGAAGTAAAAAAAGAGGGGCTAGGGATGTAGGTCAGTGTTAGTGTGCTTACCTAGTACATGTGAGACATTTTGTTCACTTTTCAAAACTAAAATATGATAAGCTCACAATATGATTTAAAATTTCCA